CTTTAACTGAAGAAAATAAATAGAAGCTATCAAACGAATAAATTTCAACCTTCAGAAGAAAAAAGTCAGACTTGTAAGAAAGACTATCATGAAAACAAAGTACTAAATCTCTTCAAAACTATAAGGAAATAAGTACAAAATCCAAAACCATGGAAAAATGTGGAACTTTTCATAAGTTATACAACTGTCCTGCTTATAATAAATTGCTTGTACTGTAAAAAAAAAAATCACTTTTCTAAAATGGCACTTTTAAAAAATGTTAATGTTGTACAGAATAATTTAGAGCATGAGTTACATAAATGGTAATGAATATATTTTAGGTCGTAGAAGATATAATCCATTTCTAAAAATAAAACCGAATGGTTTGAAAAACTAAAGTAAACATATCTAAATATTTATTGTTAAGGTTGGATACTGAGCTCAGTGTAATGTGCTACCATTGCCTAAATTTAAACAATTAATTTAGAGAGAAATGTTTGACTAATCAAAAGTCACTTTAAATAATTCCAATGGTACTACAATGATGTAGTTGGAAATGTAAATTATTATGTGAAACTCGAAAGGGGACAAGATGAATAGAATTTCAGTGTACATGTGATAAAATGTTCAGCTATTTTAGGGTTACCTCATTGCAAAATTAAACTAATACAAGGATTTGTACAGTAAATCCTGATTCTAACGAAAAGTTACCAGAACTTTTAAAAGGATATCAGATTTGTTTAAAGGAACTGATTTAACTGGATATACATATCATATTAAATTAAAAACCAGGAGCTGTTGTAAATAGAACCCTGTAGAAAATTCCACTAGCTATTAAATCCATTAAAAAGGAATTAGCAAAATGGAAAAAGATGGTATTATAAAGAAATTAACCAACAACAGAATTCGTGATTCATTAGTGGTAGTAAGGAAAAAGGATGGAAATTAAGAGTGTGTTTAGATCCTCAGCACCTTAACCAAAATATATGAGAGAACATATCACATACCAACCTTTGAAGAAATTTCATCTCAAATGACAATGCAAGGTCTTAGTATTTTAGATGCAAACAAGCATTTTGGCAAATTAAACTGTCAGATTCAAGTTGAATTTACTACTTTAATCCGTTTGTAGATATTGTTTTTTAAGGTTGCCATATGGACTGAGTTCATCACCAGAAGTTTTCCACAGAAGTTTTTCTGAAATTTTTAGTGATTTAAAGAGTTCAAATATATATAGATGACTTATTATTTTGGGGTAAAGATAAAAAAAGAACTGATTCAAGATTAAAGAAGTTGTTGGACAGAGCCAGAGAAAGAATGTTAAATTTAATTTAAATAAATGTAAATTTGGGCTGAATGAAGTGAAATATATGGGACATATATTTTCTAAAGATGGTTTAAAAAACCAGATGAAGACAAAATTAAGGCTATTCTAGATTATAGATGAACCGAGATACTGAAAATAGTAGGAGCACTTCAATTTAGATGTGCCTGTAATCCTTCAAAATCTAACAGAAGTTGTTGTGTCCCAAATAGCAAAAGAGGTATAATATCATCAAATTTTTCAAATGGACTAACTACGTCACTCGATCTGGTAGGACTGTTAAGAAACCTTATTATTTAAAAGAATATGTTTAATTTTACTACTATTATTATTTTTTATAAAAAAGGAGATGTTATATATGTAACTGTAACTGTATCTATTATTATCTTAACCATAACTGTAATATAGAATAGTTGATGAGTAATGTAGAATAAACGATGTTTGTGTACATCTTGTAATCATAACTGAGCAGGTACCCACACATATAAATACAACACACAAGTTTGAACCTCATTCTAAATTCAAAATAAATAAAAGAAAAACAAAAGGCCATCGAGGGGAGTTAAAAATATGAAGTTGGTTTTATTATATGGTGTATAAAAGGAATTAAGTGATTTAATTCTCTTATATACTGTATTCCAAACCAATTTTATAAATCCTAATTTTCATACAATATAGAATCTCAAGTCTGTCAAAACTGGTCGATACTCATCCTGAAGTAATACAAAACAAGTAAGATTAAAAAAAAAAAAAAAGTTAATTCCTACTAGGTCCACAAAGAAAAATTAAAAAATACAAATAAATAAATAAATAAATAAAAATACAAACAGAATTTTTTAATTAAAAATTTAAAAAATTTTAATATGTGAAAAAGCTGTATTAACATCAAGTGTCATTCACTACAAGTTTAAAAAATTGTATTTGAACTTGATGAATAAAAAGCATTTTATGTACTAAAAATTTGAACAAAATATAGGGAGAGTGTGAGATAATAGTAGCAATTTAATGATTCCGGATATTCCTTTCGTAAACGAGGCAGTAAAAAAAAAATCTAAAATCTCTTTGAACATAAATAAATCTTTCGGACCCATTCTTGGCATTTTTTGCGGTTTTTGCCTCTGCTTAATAATTGCACTTAATAGTAAATTTCAGCTATTAAAAAAATCCGATTCGATTCGGACAACTTACCGCAAACATACAGAAGCACGCGAAGTAATAAGATACAGCTCTGTTGACGCTATATTACAGCGTCACGTGATTTTTGCGCAAAATAATTCTATTGGTTAAACGCACTCTTCGCAAGCGTACTCGTTTGGACGCTTTTACGCTGGTAACGTAAAAGCGCGTTCGTCAGCTACGTTTCGAGCGTACTCGTGTGGACGGGCCTTTAGAATTATAAATGTGTTAATTCCTTCATAACACATTTAGAATTATAATATCTTGGTTTTACATGCTTCATTATTATTTTCCACAGCAGACAGTGTTACGTTCATCTTTACTTTGCTCTACCCACTCCTTCCATTTTGCAAAAGTTTTGTACTCCTGAAGAGATACCTGTGTCTGATTGTCCTCAAAGCTGATAATTTTATTTAAAATCTATGCAAATTAAGTCTGCTGTTAAGCCTAATTTTAAATTTCACACTCGCGTGTTTTCTCTCCAATCTGAATTTTCCATGAATGATTTTCGTTATCAACTTCATTAATATTAAAATTCATTCACTTTTGGAATTTTGAACACCTGTATATTAATGACAGCTAGAAAGGCTCCAACTGCATAAGTAATTATAGTTTTATTTAAGAGAAATTAATACAATCAAAATACGGTCTAACACATAACTTGCCTGCTATACTTTGCTTTCTGTTTTAGGAATAGGGAGATGATAAAGGGATTTTTTTCATGTTTGTAACGTTCTTTAAAATATACAGCTTCAAAACGATTGCCAAATCTTTTAGTATGACAGTAGCTGTGCAAGAGAAACCTGTTTTGGAAGTCCCCTTGTGCTTTTAGCTGTCTTTCACCTTTGCCTTTTGCTTTGTATGTCCCACTTCTATTATACAGCAAAACAGCGTCCTGGTGTAATTTTTATGTTTCTGCCCAGATGAATCTACCACAAAATGAGTCTTTGTTTTTCTTTCTTCATCCGATAGCCATCCATGAATAAAAGTCTAATAAATAAATAAATGTATAAATTTTCCTAATAAGGGCAATCTGATTAGTAAATAAAAATATGCAGATTGCAGCCACACAGAAAAATAATCTTAATTGTTAAAACTATAGTGTTCTGAAATTATATGTTTCAAAGTAATTAATTTGTTAATTTTTTTCAAATAAATGCATATTTGTGTGCTGAAACAGCTTAAATTAATAATACCATATATATGGTGTTTCTTCAAATAAATGTATTGCTGAAACTAGCTTTAATGAAGCTATTTAATTTTAATGTAAAAAGATTAAGGGCTATATACAGAAGTTACGCAATATATTTTGCTTATTTATAATTGAACTAGGAAAACAAAATAATAAAAAGTTCATTGCATACCTGCTTTTTTTTGAAACTCCAGTTTTATACATTTGGTCATAATTGCTGTAATTATGGCAAGTCTCTAAGTGAGATCTTAAATCTCCTTGTAGTAGAAAATAGTTCCTGGCATTCGTCTTCGCCGCATTTAATATTACTTCGCCTTATATTATGGATACATATCCTACGTTTAGCTAAAGAATTTTTTGTACAAAATTGATTCGTACAATACGTACACGAAAATGGTGCAACTTTTATTATTTAAATTCGCGTATTCTTTGTGCATGCGCTTTCAAATATTCTTTTCGCATAAAAAGATGAACTGTAAGATTTACATTTAAACATATCCATTTTGATAATAAAAAAAAGCAATATCCTTGATTTAAACAAACCGCTAACAATTGGCGAGAAACACAATTGCAGTTGGCGAAAAACCAGAAATAGCGCCTAAAACCAAAGAATCTCTTACAGATTCTTTGCCTAAACGTTTCGGGAGTGTCACGTGGTATACAGCCAATGACAGTGAAGATAAGCATTTTCCTCTTCTGGTCTTGAGACGCCTGTATCTTACACGTAGTTCGAATGTCACGTGACCTCCCTGCGCGTTTGGGGATTTAGCGCTGACCGATTTGTTTATTAAGATATACGTAGAAGATGAGATTTTAGACTACTGAGCTGGTGAATAAAAAATTATATTTGATGTTGATATGGTAATCTTTTTTATTTTATAGTAAGAATTTATTTGCATTGTATTATATTGTTCCAACTGAAGATCCATAAAGGCGTGCTGTTTATATTTGTTATAATCTCATGAATATTTTCCACGTTCAGCGGTCATCAGCGCGTCAGGTAGAGTTTCCTGAACATTCCTAGTGGTTTTAGCTTTCTTGACTTTCTTTTTTGGAGATTTGATAAAATCTGTGATTTCGTTGATCTAAAAGATTTGTCCGTGTCCGTATCGACATCTTCCGTAGCATTCGAAGGTGTCCTAAAAAAGGACATATTTTAATGTAACCGAAGGTTTCTGCAAACATTAGAGTTTTAAGCAAAATTTGCGAGAGAACTGAGCGTGGACTGGGACAGTCTGCGCGAATATTGATGTCATGAGTATAATATGAGCGTGTTTGCGTTTCATCCTCAACTAAACTTTTCGCCCTGTGGGCAGAAAGATTTAGCTTGTGCAAAACATAATATCAGTCTCGTTTTAGTATGTTTTGTTCTTGTTAATTTAATACTCATGTCGTCAAAAAATTTCATTAACTCAGATCCTGATTTTTGTGCTCGTTGTGGAGGTGTGCTTCCACTCCCAGGAAACGAAGATGTTGTAGTTTGTTCTATGTGCGCGTATAAAGTTGATGTTAGAAGTAAGCTAAATTCCGCTGAAGTCGTTATTTATCGAAAATATATCCTTCAAGATTTCTCGATTGTGATGAAATGTTAGTTGTCTTTATGTCAATTCATTTTTAAATTTTATCGTTTCACATACTCGTATGCTATCGCCCACCAGCGGCCGAGTGGTAAAGTCGCTGAACACTGGTAGTTCGGTCCGAGGTTCGAATCCCGCGAACGGGCTGGCTGCATGGGCGTTTTCCCCATGTGTAACGTGTATACGAGCCAGTTTCCCTTAGAAAGTCCTCCACGAAGGCATTCCTCTCCTTAGGCAGATAGCCCTCGTGTGCTTAGCCATAATTAAATACACCAACACCAACGTATGCTATCCGTTTCTAGGCTTTGTAATGTATAATCCACTTAATAGACAACTTAGGATTACTAGAATGTGATGAAAATTCTTCAAGTATTTACGGATATTGCTATATTATTGTTTAAACTGTTTTTGTGTTGGTTGTAAATGTAAATTAATATTTGGTGCATTTTACGTTTATATTTACTTTAATCAAATACCAATACTTTACGCATACCAATGCTTTACGCATGCGCATTTGATTTTTCCTTCCATAATAAAATATGTGGAGATTTTTATGTAAAAATTCCAATTCTTAATTTCACTTAGGCACTAAATAAACTACCTCGTTATGGAAAAACAATCATGTAAGCATTAATTTGTGAGATTAATAATTTGGCTCTGTAGCTGAATATCTACTTGTATATTATTTTGTAATCTCCGTAGCTGAATATCTACTTGGCCAAAATTGTGGACACTTTTGGAAATTTTTATGTTTTTGAACTTTTTATGCTTATAGAAAATGTTACCTTTCGCAAAATGCTTGTATATATCATTTTAACTTGTATATATCATTTTAAAGAGAATTTATTACTGAATTCAATACAAAACACAAAATTAAATTATTTTCAATACGAAAAAAGTTATATGTACTTTAATATAAATAAAAAACACAGTTATGAAGTGGTTTGTGATGTCTAGCTTTCCGGTCCAAACACTGTTCTTGTTCTGAGAACCAATCAAATGTAGTAACTGCCAGTAGAAGCTGACATCATGTTTACACTTGAAACAATTCATTATTTTGCTTTATTCTGTAGAAGGAGGACCTGTTTCTTATACACTGCAATCACAAGTAGGAATTTTTGTAAAAATTTTTAATATTTAGTCAAGAAGCAATGGCATCAAATAAAGGAGTAAATTGGACACTTAGAAAGAGATGTAATGTTATTGTGTTACGAGAAAGTGGTCTTTCCTATGCTGAAATTGCAAGACAGGTGGGTGGTTCAGTGACTACATCTGGAGTCCGAAAGTTTTGTTTACGATATCAGGAGACAAATTTCATTAAAAAACAAAGAAGGAAAAGGCCGAAAACGGTGCACCACATCTATTGATGACAGAAGAAGAAAAAGACTATGTCTCCAAGATAGAAAAATGTCATCTACGGCCATCAGAAGTGATCTGAATGATGCTGGTGTTTCTGTCAGTTCAAGAACAATCAGGAGAAGATTAACAGATGTTGGACTGAGAGGTAGAATTCCATGAAAAAAGCCTTATCTTAATTTTCAGCAACGAAAAAAAAAAAAAAAAAAAAAAAGACTACAGTGGGCAAAGGAACACATTAATTGGACAGTGGTCACAAGTTATATGGAGTGATGAAACTAAGATATCGTTATTCGGTAGTTATGAATTGGAAGTTGATCTGTCAGTACTATCCTTATCTTCAGGGCAGATGTTTTTATTTTATTTGGCTTATATTTCCTTACTAAATGTAGTATTTCATCTCAATGTACTCCTTCTTTGATATGATTTAAATCAAATTCCTCGTCATTAGTTTAATAAAGTAAACAAATAAATATTAAGCTTTTTTTTTTTTTTGTAAATTTTGTTACCCTTTAGATCATAATTGCTCTTTATTTCATAAATTACAGTTTCATATTTTTAATTTTATAATTTCTGCAAGCAATCTTACCAGATTTAAACTGATGATCTATAATCCGGAATCGCCGAAGTCCCGACGATTCCAGATTAACGACTTTTGACTGTATTATATGCTCAGTATACAGAATGTCTCAAAACTTCACATACAGATTTTGAGGAGCCAGAGAATATATTTATGTACCATATTTATATAGGAAAGCAGGGCTGGAAGCAGATAGGGGCATTTTATGCCAGACCTGAAAGTAGATATCTAAGGCTTTCTCTTCAAAGCTTACAGTGATGTATGAAGGACATGTTTTATGTATACTGAGTTGGCAGAAATCCTTTTTTATATGGACAGTAATGTAGGGTTGGAGCCTTGTAAGAATGTATGGCTAATCTTTGGAATATGGTGACAGGTAGTTTGGCGACATTTTGGTAAGGCGATCAAGGTTACTAGCTGGGACTTTAAAAAAAAAAAAAGCAGTGTACATGGATATAGTGAAGAGTGTGCGCAATGCCATTTTTGTGCAATTCTGGGATGTTTTTTTAAGTAAAAATAAGTCGCCGTGTACATGGTTTAGTGATATTTTAATTAAATGATAGTTATTTTGTGAATTTTATGTTTGTAGGAATTTGGTATATGTTTAAGTAAACGTGCATGGAAATAATTTAAATATTTGATACTAAGTATTTGTAATGCTTGCGGTATGAATTCGTTGGTGACGTGTATAATGTAATAGATGATTTAGAGGTAAAAGTTTTTGGATATTTTATTTATTTTATATGTGGAAATGTTCATATTTGGAAAGGGTAAATACTTTTTCGCGATCAGGTAATTTCATATATGTTCCTTTTACCGAGTTTAAAGATTAAGAAAATTGTCATGTATTTTCGTGAAATTTTTCTAATTTATGAGAAAAACGCAGTGTACATGGATATAGTGAAGAGTGTGCGCAATGCCATTTTTGTGCAATTCTGGGATGTTTTTTTAAGTAAAAATAAGTCTGCGTGTACATGGTTTATGTGTATGTGTTTTTTGAAAAACGCGTAAGGAGTATGGTATTTGTGCACTTTTTCCCAATTTTGCAGTGAATATTTGTCATGATTAAGCAGTTTTGTTAGATAAAATTTCTAGCATAAGTGTAATTCGGCTAGTAGATTGTTGGAAGAAGTGTTCAGTAGATAAAAAGAAAAGAAACATGTCTTTACTTCGGGAAGACAAAATGGCGGCGGGAAAAAAAAATAGAGGATTGCTGTAGGAGAGTTAGTCGCCAAAAAAACGCCAAGTTACCATAATGTAAAGATCAACCGAAGTTCTTCATTATATTTAAGATTTTAAAAGTGTTAACTGCTGCTTTATGATAAATTTACGCATTTCCTTTCAATTCTTTTCACTGATACTGGTTTGACCCGTGTTTGATAGAGAATAAGTCTGTACACCATTTTTCTTCAGAACGTGTTGCCAGTTTCCATTCATTATGATAATTAGTTTAGCAGTATACATGGATATAGTCAAGAGTGTGCGCAATGCCATTTTTGTGCAGTTCTGAGATGTTTTTTTAAGTGAAAATAGGTCGATGTGTACAATGATGATACCGTGTATGTGCAATTCGTAAAAACGCGGCAAGCAGTGGGCGATTCTGCACTTTATCCCAGTTTCGCACCTAATCTTCGTCATGATTAAGAAAGACTAATTAGAAATTATAATAGATCAGCTATTATTCATCTAAATAAAATGAATATGGAATTTGAAAACAGAATGTCTGGGGAAATCTTCGAGTAGTATTTCAAGATTATCTGAAAACGTTTCATTCAAAATGACAGTGTGTTCACGTGTGAACCATAAATAAACTTCCTCATTATTTATAAATAAAGTCTTGATAAATAAAGTTCTGGTTGATCTTTACAATATGGTAACTGGTAGTTTGGCGACATTTTGGAGGCGAAAAAGGTTACTACCTGGGACTTTGGTAATAATGTGAGCAGTACTCAGTTCCGATTACGCATTATTTTGTGTGAGGGAAATGAGAGATCATGGGATATGTCATGTGATATTAATGGACGAATTACGGTTCTTTAATCGGAAAAGGGGGGAAATCGGGAAAAAATCAAAATGGAAATTTTGTATTTGGCTTTATTCTGTGTTGTGTGAAACAGTGTTCGTGAATTTTTTGGATCCCATGGCCGTAACTAAAGTGAATTCGAAATGGGTATTTATGTATGTATTAATTTAATGTATGTGCTCATTTATATTTTAAGTAGTGTTTTTTGAATTTAATTATATTTTAATTAAATGATAGTTATTTTTGTGAATTTTATGTTTGTAGGAATTTGGTCATACGTTTTAGTTGAAGTAAACGTGCATGGAAATAATTTAAATATTGATACTAAGTATTTGTAATGGCTTGCAGTATGAATTCGTTGGTGACGTGTATAATGTAATAGATGATTTAGAGGTAAAAGTTTTTGGATATTTTATTTATTTTATATGTGGAAATGTTCATTACTTTTCACGATCAGGTAATTTCATATATGTTCTTTTTACCGGGTTTAAAGATTGAGAAAATTGTCATGTATTTTCGTGAAATTTTTCTAATTTATGAGAAAAAAGCAGTGTACATGGATATAGTGAAGAGTGTGCGCAATGCCATTTTTGTGCAATTCTGGGATGTTTTTTTAAGTAAAAATAAGTCGCCGTGTACATGGTTTAGTGATATTTTAATTAAATGATAGTTATTTTGTGAATTTTATGTTTGTAGGAATTTGGTATATGTTTAAGTAAACGTGCATGGAAATAATTTAAATATTTGATACTAAGTATTTGTAATGCTTGCGGTATGAATTCGTTGGTGACGTGTATAATGTAATAGATGATTTAGAGGTAAAAGTTTTTGGATATTTTATTTATTTTATATGTGGAAATGTTCATATTTGGAAAGGGTAAATACATTTTCGCGATCAGGTAATTTCATATATGTTCCTTTTACCGAGTTTAAAGATTAAGAAAATTGTCATGTATTTTCGTGAAATTTTTCTAATTTA